TGCAGCTCAGAGCTGGGCGGCGGCAGGCAGCGAACATTGGCTTCCTCCATCACTGGAGCAAGCAAGCCTCCTGTTCGCTTCAGCTGCCTGGCTGCCGGCCGCCATCTTTGTTGGCAGGTAATTTGCATATCGCCCTGATTAGCCAATGGGAAGCATGTCGGAGGTACAGTTAATTACCATGTTTGTCTATTATTAGATAGGATTATAAAAAATGACTGCACATATCTCCAATCTCTACATGAACATCCCATTGGCATGGTGACTTTACTATTCTTTCTATTCCAAGTCTTCAAGTTTGAGTTTGACCATGTGAAATCTATAGAATTTACTTTGCAGGGTCTAAAGTTCACAGAGAGGTCATTCAAATTGTCAAGATAATTGTTGCCTTTCCTCAAAATAATCTTTTTCTCCTTCTTCTTCTTCTTCTTCTTCTTCTTCTTCTTCTTCTTCTTCTTCTTTTTTTTTTTAGGAACCTGCTTTAAACATGGCCACATCATTTCCATCTAAGTCTCATTCCTTAGAGCAAGTTCCATGCAGATAATAGGATTTGATGATTTTTCTATCTGCTTAAGAGTTTTAGTGACGTTAAAATTATGTTGATTTTATGAAATTGAATTTAACCCTGGTTTTTATAATACTGTTCATGAGTCTCTTATAAAAGTGCTGATATCAATCAAGGTCTAACACCTGATTCACATATAAACAGAACTTTGGGCATTTTCCTTAAAACACACATATACTCCCTCACACCTAGACACACTCACAGGAAGTCTCTGAAGGAAATTACTACCTTAAAATGCTTCTGTATTTCTTTTCAATGGAGCATATAGAACACTTTTGCCCGCACATTATAGGATTAATCTTTAAAAGCATCAACTTCTATAAGCAGGTACAAACCCTTGTCTGCCCTCAGGGAGAGACCGGCCAATAAAAGGTTATTCTGGAGAAGTAATGCTTGTTAACTTACTCTGTTGCACATATAATTGGAGAAGATGCTTTTTAGAGTATCAAACATGTATTGAATTTAACTCTTTCTCACATGACTAATTTTAGTCATAAACCACCTCTGATACTTTATAAGCTTATCACTTAAGACAGCTATGAAATAGTTATGCAAAATCATTAGACTAGAGAATTTTTTTAAGCATTCGCATCTGTACCTACTGGCATTTGCCCATGATAATCCCCTATCTTTCCTGAGAAATGACTTCCATATCCTAGTCCTTATATAAATAGACAAAGAATGCAGTAAGACTAGCCAGTAGCACATCAATTTAGGCAGAGGTGGACAAAACTAGGTTTATAGCTGTGAGTATGCAAAACACCAAGTTTATTATTGCATTATTATTTATTAATATTATTTTCCATAATGAACAACTGTGAACCTATTTTTGCCCATCTCTGTATTTCCTTCTCAGACATAGATTCCCATGAAAATCAAATCCAAAGGAATGAAGACCTTGTATATATTATACTAGAGGCCCAGTGCACGAATTCATGCACAGGTGAGGTCTGGCCAATCGGGCCAGACAGGGGGAGGGGCTGTGGGGAGTTGGCCAGCCAGCCCTGCCCCCTGGTCGAACTCCTAGTCGAACTCCCGGTCGAGGGGACAATTTGCATATTAGCCTTTTATTATATAGGATATGTTTTTAATCAAATTCATTACTGTCTGCCTTTTAGGACTATGTACAAATTTCATTTTCATATCTATTCACTTTATTTTAAAGATAAAATATATCTGAAACAAGTATTTGAATAACCAGGGGTATTCACAGTGATATAAACTTCTGCCTCGTCAATAATCTACAAGGCTCTGTTGTTGCTAAATGCTTATGGATGTCCAGGGAAGCCCTACTCCGGGTTCAGGTGAAAACTCATTACCCATCACATAGTCTAATTCTATGAAGTGATAGGTAGGACAGGATAAATGTGTGTTAGTCTACCAGTAAATGTGGGAAATGCAAAACCAGCTACACATTTTGGGCAGGTATGTTTCAGAAAACAGTTCATGTCCATTCCCTCTCCTTCCCCATAAAGATCACTTTTGAGCACAAGAATGCGATAGTAACCATGTTGTGAAAAATGTAATTTGGTAAAGAAGGGTCATGACACCTAAGCAAACCAGTGCTTTATCTGTCTTGACATCCAGGAAGAAAGCAACGCAGACCGCTGAGCCAGCTGTGTAACTTGAAGTGTTAGATAAAAGCCAAAGATGATAAGCTATGAGCACCTATAGTAAAAATGTAGGAAAATTACTAGATTAGAACTTTTTCCTCTTTGTTTCTATTTTCAGAATGTCCTCCTAACCCTTTAAGAAAGCAGTTCATTTTTGGCAATGAGCCTTTCTTGGGACTTTTCCATTTGTTCAGGTCATGGTAATTGTACTGGGAAGGGGTGGAATTATGCAATCATAGAACTTTTCAAACCTGGCTTTGAACAGTGTCTCTACAAGAGAGTGGTAAGTCAGTGACTTCAGTGAACACATTTTCCTCATCTATTAAAATCAAATAATAATTAAATATTATTAAAATAGTGTATAGAAAGTTATTGGCAAGTAGTAGGGGCTCAACGGATAGTAGCTATGGTTATTTATTTTTTCAACATATACATAATTTCAAGCCACTTTACTTTTTGAAGTTGAAAATTAAATTATATAAAAATGATTTCATACCCACAATAGATTCCCTGAGATAATCAATTGTATCTACCTTTTTAAAAAATTATTGATTTCAGAGATGAAGGGAGAGGGTGAGAAAGATGGAAACATCAATGATGAGAGAGAATCATTGATTGGCTGCCACCTGCATGCCCCGCACTGGGGATTGAGCCCACAACTCGGTCATATGCCTTGACTGGGAATCAAACTGTGACCTCCTAGTTCATAGATTGACACTCAACCATGCTAACCTTGCTTTTATTTACCTTTCAATTGTGAAATAAATCATTTTGTTTTCTATTGAAGATTTAATTTGTATTTGATTATTAATTTACCATATTATTCAGTATTTTATTTTCATCTATTAATATTTCAAAGTTAGTGTTTTACAAATCAAAGATTTTATACACTTTCAGTGTAAATAGTAGTAGTAGTCTATATAGTACTTTTTTGCTACAGACCTAAAATATTTGAAGGTGTTGCTTCTTCAATCATATAGAAAGGTCTTGGGTGGCATTATTCATGTCATCACGTCAGTTTATTGGAAAATGAAAAATGCAGTTTGTCACCCTCAGGAAAAATGAGTACTTTGAATTTTCCAGGAAATTAGCTTGAGCTAAATTATTTTATATTGCTTGCATCCAATCAACAGCACTGACATATTCCTGCAAATTGATTTTAGATTTTAAATTTCAAGGGCTACTTAATTCATTTTATCAAAATGTAATGAATACCTAACATGTGCATGAAGTTCGAAGATTGAAAATGACAACCTCCACCACCATAAAGACTTGGTTCTGCCTTCTAAGTCCTGGTGTCTAGTGAAGGGAGCGACAGCAAAGTGTGAATTCCATGATGGGGGTAGCTGTAAAGTTCCTGGAAACGTAGATAGTGGAGCTCCATGTTGGAGGGGTAAATTTTTGAGAAAAATTAGAACCAGGTGACATTTTATTGGCTTTTAAAGACTAGTAAAGTGTTTCTTAGTTGGATATGGTAGACTATTCCAGGTAGAAGGAATAGTGAGAACAAAGGACTCATAATTCATAGCTGTTTACAGAATGGCTCTGGACCTAGTGTAGGGCTTTTACTAGTACAGCATAGGGTGGGATGGAAGTATGGCAAGGGCAGGCTTCATGTAGAGAGTCATTTTGGAAAGTTAAAATATTACCTTCCGTATCACAGTATTCTTATCTTTACTTCGTTACATATCATAATACACACTAGTTGGATTTTTTTGTGTGTGATGTTTTTAAACTTATTTGGACTTTTCTTCAAGTAATATTGTTCCTTTGCTTTTCCTATGGTTTTAAAGAATTATTGTCATCCGATACTATATTTCAAATAAGGTAAATATAAATTTTATAAGCCATATTTCAAGAAGGCAATATAAATTGTACAAAAATAATACTTAAGATCTAGAAAACATCTGCTGATTTTGATTCATGTAGAAGCATATATGAGCCAACTTGTGAAAGGCTATACATCTAAATAGCATGTGTTTAATAATATCAGGTTATGCATTAAAGAAGTATTCTTTCCACATTAGATATCATACACAGGAGTGTTTGTCTAAGTGTGTGTGTATTATAGCCTACTTTATTATAAAAATAATTTGAAGTTGTTTTGTTTAAGTTATATGTGTAAAGCAGAAAAATCTGCAGTATTCTGTTAATTAAATAAGGAGGCCAGTAGACTGAGGTGGCTCTAATGCCATGGCAGCCTGTGGAAGCAAACACAAATCTAAGCCTATCAATGAACTAAAGTTATGAAGTACAAACCTAAAGACCTCTAATCATAAACATCCAGCTAGATTCAAAGCTCTATCCATCAATAACTTGCTGACTTTGCTTCCCCCCTTTCTCTATGAAGGTCTCTGCCCAACCACTTCATAAGTTATATGAATGTCTAATTACTTTGTGGTATACCTGAAACTAACATAATATTGCATGTCTACTGTAATTGAAAAATCAAACACAATTTTTTAAACAAACAAAAAGCCTCTCCCGAGTTCCTGTCAGTGGAGCTGTCCTAATCACTTCCGGTTTGGCGCTGCCCAATTGCAATAGATAAATGCTCAAATAAACTTAAAAATTTTTTAGTGCCTCAGTTGATCTTTTTAACAGTTCAGTATGTTTAAAAATATAAACTCCCAGAAAAGTTTAAGAGTAAAGAGTACTTTCTGTTTCCTCCATTAGCTGTGAAGAAGAAGGCTGGCTTCATCACTCCAGTTCCAGGAGGCGTGGGACCCATGACGGTGGCCATGCTTCTGAAGAACACCCTCCTGGCAGCTAAAAAAGTCATTTATTAGGTTGCATGAAAGAACGAAGCAAGCTGAAATCATGCTATTTATTTACTCGACAAGGGGGAAAATCCTTTCTATTTTACTACAAAGCTATTTATTTCTACATTGTATTTATTTTTTCATGGATGGAATCACTGTGGATCAGAGGATTCACACAATTGTATGCATTTCCTGCTAACAGATTTTGAGTTTTAGGAGAAAAAAAACAATAACTGGAAATATTGGTAACATTTATTTTATGAATAATATTTGTTCATAATGTTCAAACAATAAAGGGCTCATAATAAATAATATATTTTGACACAATTAAATATCACATGCCATATGTTTTCAACAAATGTTTTGTCAGCCAAATGGACACCCATGTAAAATGTAATTCAGGTTTTGCCATAAGCTTGATCAATTTTTAAATATTTTAGTTCTATATCGTATGCTAAAAAAGAACTAAGTTGCTAAAAGAAAGATAAAATATAAAAAATAAAATATTCATCTTATATATCTCCTAAATGCATCCTATGAGGCATCCTAATAAATAATGTTTAATCAAGGAAAGAGAAATATACAAAGAAAACAAAAAATACAGTGCTGCTTGGGAAGGTAATGATTATGTGAAATGATAAATGACTACTTGTTATAGTAAAAATGTAATAAGAATGTATTAGGCTTACATGTAATTTCTTTGTTGTTCTAGAAAAATATGTGGACAGTGCCTTCTTTGAGGAATAATAGAAAATCCCAAAGCAAACAAATGCACAAAACAAAACTATGGTGGTCTTTCCCCACAAAGATCAGGAAAATATGACATACTATGAGTGAAGCCTTCATTAAAGAACAAATTATGTTTTTTCACAAATGCAGAAATCCATTGGTAAAACACACAAACAGTGTGCCAATGTTAAACATTAGAATATGACTAAAAATCTACTGTTTTCTTTCCCACAGTTCTACCCTCTTCTCTTATAGCATTTGGTTCTCAAAGTAGATGCCATGCTTCTAACACAATTTAAATTTAGGAAATACATGTGACTCTCAGTTGAAGGTATCTTGAGACTGCTCTAACCACATAATTGTATTGTTTTCATACTCAAATCCCAGTACATTTATGTACCAATAATTCTTACCCAATGCATGTTTTTAATGATGTGTATACTTATTATTTATGTGAGAATAGATTAGATGTTTATGATTAATAGTATTTTAACTGTATAATAAAAGCAATTTGAATAAGAATACCTGTCTTCTTTTTCCCTTAAGATATCTATAAGTTTATTTTTTCATAAATTTGTTATCTATTTTTTTTACAGCATGCTGAGAACTGTACAAGTTTTTTAAGCAGGAAAGTAAAGGTTCTATGTCCCATTCCACAATCAGCCTAGATCATCTTTGTCTGATAACCCTGACAGAAATTTAAATTCAAAGCTCTCACACAAACACTTCAGAAATGGGCCTTTTAAAATTTTTAAGGCTGCAAATTCTCAAAACAAACAAAATGACTGAAAATACATGTACACTGAAAAGGTGAAGTCTGTCATTTTGAGCCCATCCTGCTTTCCCCAAAGTGCAGGAGGGGTTATTTTTTAAAGATTTTTGCCCCTTTGGCTAGGCTAAAATTCAGGAGTGAGCCTTTCCAGAAACTAATTAAAATACTGTAAAATGATAATTATTCTGATCTTTGTTAAGAAGGGTAAGACATATTTTATTTAAGACTATAGCAATAGAGGAGATTGAACTCAACTCCCAATACAGCAATGACAGCTAGGGATTTATAGCCAATGAGCAGAATGAGGGGATCAGTGGATAGAAAATTATTAAGAAGAACTTGATTGGTGTCAAGGGTTGGGGGACTCTTGCTAAACTAGCTTACTACCATTCTTGCTAAAAGGCCAATGACTTATGATATTAAGAATTGGGGGATGAGCCCTAACCGGTTTGGCTCAGTGGATAGAGCGTCAGCCTGCGGACTCAAGGGTCCCAGGTTCGATTAGGGTCAAGGGCATGTACCTTGGTTGCGGGCACATCCCCAGTAGGGAATGTGCAGGAGGCAGCTGATCGATGTTTCTCTCTCATCGATATTTCTAACTCTCCATCCCTCTCCCTTCCTCTCTGTAAAAAATCAATAAAATATATTTTTTAAAAAGAATTGGGGGATGAGAAACTTGGTCAGATATGGGGGGTGGTCCATATACTGATTTAGCAAAATTCTTTTCTAAAACTGGGCCAAACATGTCAAGTCAAGACCTAGTCAAGAAGAGGACCCACAGGAGACTGATTAAAATGTGGTCAAGGAAGCAACCTTTGTCAACACATAAAGGAGATAAAATTGGTTTGTTGTTATCATGACTTTTTAAAATATTTGGAGTCCACAAAAGATAGACATATGATGACTTTGTACAGAACCTTTGGAAAAGTAAATTGCCTTCTCCAAAAAGTATCTGTAAAAATGACCCTACAGAATTAATTGGGATTGAACAATAATACAAAAATATGGAGGCAAGAATGAGCTTAGCATATATATATGGGATACAGTCATACTAAAAATGAAAAGTGTGTGTTGGAGAGCGGTGGAAATACAACTGAATAAGTATGCAGAAATAGATTAGGGAAAACTTGAATAAATTAAAATTTAGACCATATTGAGTAAATTATGAGAATTAAAATTAGAGCCTGGAAGAGGCTTTCATTGATTACATGAGGAAATTATAAAGGGAAGATGATTTTGGAGAAGAGATAAAATGTTTAAGACATGTTGAGTTTGAGGTGATAATATATAAATGAAAGTCCTAATGTAATATCAGTCTAGGAAGAGAATAAGAATTCATGGCTAGTGATGAAAATTTGGGACTTATCAGCATGTATCTACCACTAAACTCCCAGTCTTATTGACCATTATGCACACCCTGTCTTTTTGTATTTGTTCAGTAGTAACAGTTATCCTTAATAGAGAACCTATCATATGCTAAATGCTTTATTTTCTTTTTGTTATTGACAATCACCATTTGATAGATAAGAAAATTAACTTTTGGGTTATTAAAGTCTCAGTCAAAGCCAAGTGGATGATGCAGGCAGCATTGGAATTTGAAACAAATCTGTTGGGATGATATGAGCCAGAACCCACTCTCTTTTCACCAGTCTCCCTGCTTCTCCCCCCACAAAGAATCCTTTCTTGTATCAGTATTTGTCCAAATCCTACTTATTATGTAAGGTTTACTTCAATTGAAACTTATCCATGGAAACTGCTGGGAGAGTTTAAGTCCTACCCCTGAGCTCTCATAGTCTATGTAGACATTCGTAGCAGTTATCAGTTCCTACCCTGACAACACCCATGTACATATTTTCCTTGTCTCCCTTCAGTTCCTTGAGGTCAGAATCCACACATGATTTGTCTATTTGTCCTGCATACATCATAACATCCAGCCCAGTGCCATGAACGATGCAGGCATTCGATATCTCATGAATGAATGAATGAGTGAATGACAACTGAATCCATAAGAATACCATTTCCTGCCAATATCCAGCATCAAATTTTGGTTGAGTTAGTGAAAGAGCAAGAAAAAAAGAAAGGAAAGGAAATAAGAGAAGAAGAGAGGGAAAGGAAAGGGAAAGAAAAGGAAGGGAAATGGAAGGGGAGTGAAGACACTTGCAGAGATGCTTATAACTAGAGGAACAAGATGAATAAATTTAAAAAGGCACAAAGTGGTAGGAGGGGAAAATGGTAGTGGAGTGTTGCAGCTCTTAGCCTTCTCCTTTCTCCCTCCAACCTGCTCTAATGTGTATCAAGAATGAATAGATATCAATGAAGCCACCTTACAACACCCATCTCACCCATTTTTCAGGATTGGAGAAAGGACTTGCTGAAGACAGGATTGAAGAAGTGAAGATTGGAGTCTCTCCTACAGAGAATGTAAGTGGGATCCAGCAGGATCCAGAGGAAAAGAAGCATGCGGATGACTCAGAGCTGTGTTCTGATAGAAACCTTAAGCTGAAGTGGCAGATGAGTTTCTAAATATTATGTGGCCCAACTCACCAGAATAGGGAAACATCTGGAGAGACACTGATCCATTTCTCTAAGCCCAAATGTGTGTGAAAGCCACAGTTAATATTTAGATTCCAATGATAAAGGTAATTATGTAAAGCTTGATTTTAGGAGATAATTAAGAGAATTCCTCTGAGAGCAGTATACCCACTCCTACAGGAGGGCGCAGCTGGGGAAATGGAAAGTGCATATGTCTGGAATCAGAGCACAGATTCAAGTCTTAACTCTGGGGCATGGCCTTTGGCAAGTCACTTAATTCGTTTGAGCCTTCATTTCTTATTTGTAATATGAGAGTAGAAACAAGACCTGTTGTTAATTTCTTTATTCACTTAAGACAGATTAACTATATAATGGATGCTGGAATTGTTAGGGCCGGGATTACTAAACAAAGAATTGAAATGTGTGCAAAAACCTTTAGTAAAATGTAAAGCACTACGGAAGCACCAGTTAATAGTTATTACAAAGATGGTTGGTTGTACTTCCTTGCCCCAGTCTTAAAAATAAAGATATGTGACATTAGTCCTAGCTTCTTCCTCTAAAAACTGCAATGGGTTGTGACAGTTCACTGAATCTTTTGTAAATGATTCCTTCTTAAATTCTCACCAGTGGTTCACAAGATGACAATTTGACTTATAATTCAAATAATATTTTCCTGGGAGAAATATTATCCAGAAATTATCTTAATAAATAGTTGAAAAAAACTTCGCAGAACTAGAAAACAAAATGTGGGCACATCTAAAGTGAGCCAGGGACTATATATTCTTTTAACTTTAAATGATGACGCCTGTGGTAAGTGATTGCCCAAGTTATAATGAGTTCAACAAGCTCATTCTTGTGTGCTTTTTAAAGCCAAATTCATGTTTGAATAGTAATAGGGATCCTTTCTGGTAAATTGAATGTGCTGGGTGGACATGATGCAAATGATAACCTATCTTGACTTAAACAGCTTTTTAAGGTATAGAAAATATGAGCAACTGGAATTCCAGAGAGAAAGTTACGGCAACTCTGCAGAACATATTTATAAATTGTTCATAATTGGAGCAAGTAAAAGTTTATGAGAAACTCCTTATAGTCACAATATGTACTAACATTAATTGCATGTTTTTTCCTTTTAAATGGCACTTTAATAATCATAACTAGATTAACAGTGAGAAAATTTTGAATGTTGTGTTAAGTTTTAAAATTTCTATTCATTAAATGTACCAACCTAAATATTTTAATTTTATCTCAATGGAAATTTTATTATATTATTATTGTTGTTGTTATTATTATTATTGTGTTTTCCTGGTCCTCTCTAGTCTACTCATTGGGACACAAATTTAAGCAATGTAGTTCCCATAACTTAGTAGCCCATTTTATTTATTCAGAAAAATATTAAATGGCAGAATAGCATAATGATAAATGTTATACAATTAAAAATAATTATTTGTGCAGAACTTGTAATAGTAAAACTAGATAGCAAAAACTAAAATGGAATATGAAACCTCTGTTATTACACAAATGAAATTGTTCTCCTGTGCCACTAAATGACAAAATATCTTGATTTGCAATGAAACCCAGTTTGTACTGAAAGGCAGTGCAACTGGCAGGAATATTTCTTTTATTAACAGGTTATGCTGTTTCCTGGTTTGCAAATATCAAAACTCCCTTTATTGGAATCTGATAAAGGTTGCTAGGAGCATTGGAGCAGGTACAAGTCTCTTTACACCAATGGGGCCTTTCCTGACATCAGATTCTTTTTTTATTGTTTTAAGCACTTTTACTTTCCCGATTATGCCCACAGGTAACAGGAAATAAGGGTTTCAAAGGAAAACTTGATCATGTTGGGAGATAACACAGGCATCCTCACCCAGCGTGTGAGCGCCTTGAGGCTTTAAGTCGCTGCCAGGAGTACATATTTTTTTGATTGGTAACTGCCAGATGACGCTTCATCAAATATAAATGCAAGAAAGACTCCGAGAGCTCCATAAAAGCCTTCCACCATCAGGAGGAGAGGAGCAGATACTGTCAACAAGGACAGGCGATGGCTTTCAGTGTTTCAGTGTCAGTCTACCTCTTATTCAATGGTAGGTGATTTCTTCTTCTTTTGTTAACTTGGTGTCAGTGTAAAATGTGAAAAGGATTTGTTTTCTCTGAATGAGGGAGAAGTTGGCTTTTCGGAGTTGTTCTTCATGACAAAGATTAGAGCAAGGAATCTGAATTAATTTAGTTTCTTATGTAATGTATGTTCCTCTCCTAATACATATTTGAAACCTTTAAATATTTGCTTTGTAAAACTGAAAAGAGGTTAATACATTTTAACTATTATATGACAGCATCCTTGTGATTAAATCAGTATATAAATGTATTCACTTTCTCTTAATTATTAATGTGTCCCTATTTTCTATAATTATAATATAGTCAGTAGACGGGATATGGAAGAGAAACTGTCAGGAAGTTGCCCTACTTAGGTGATGGATCGCAAATGTAAATGGTTTCAAAATAAAACATAAAGGAAATAAATAGAATAACTTTCAATCTGTTGCTTATACATAGAAGGGGCTCACCTGCTAAAGATACCTTTCCCCCCTTCATACAGCAATGGCAGCATTAAGTGAAGAGGTGGCCTTGAACTTGACACTCGCAATCACAACCCAACCAAGTAATTGGACAGTTAACAAAACAAAAGGTATTTTCTTTGCATTTTTGTATTTCAAGGGACTTCCTCATTTTTGAGAGAATTTGGATTGTGATAAGAGCAACATTGGAAAATGTTTAATATATAATTTATGATTAGATAATCAACTCTTAGCATGATGATGTTAAATGGAAGTGACAGGTAAATGTGTCTGAAAAGAATTAGCTTTCTAAAAGGAGGAAGTGAGGAAATTAAAGAAATGTCTCCAGTTACTTTTCCTGAATGTTAATTTAAACATGCCACATTTTCTGCTTGATTCATGCTTGGTTCCCTGTAACTCACACGTGTCCAGGGGCAATTTGTCACCATTTTGGCATTATATTTTGATCTGTGACTATGGGCTTTGCAGCCAAAGAAATTATGGCTACAAAATGAAATCTTAATTCATGTCCCCTATCTTTAGAAATATTTTTTCCTATTTCTTTTGAGGGGCTTTTGTTGTTGTTTTCACATAGGCTATATTTTCTAACTCCTCTACCCACTTTTTTTCTTTCATATCTTATTATTATATTATTTGAATAGCTTCCCACTGCTGTTGAGCATCAGCATATTTTCAAACCTGTTTGAACTCTTAGAGGTGAACTTGGAAAGCTTGTAACCTACCAAGACCTGCGTACTGCATGGTTCTGATTGTCACACAAATCACATACTGCCCCCTGATGTGGGGACCAGTGATGTGACACAGGGCAGAGGAAATGCCATAGCATGCTCTCAGAGCCAGGCAAATAAAAAAGATTAAGGCAGATATTTTGTTTCTGAATATGAGGTAGTAATAATTAAGAATTCATTTCACCAATAATTTTAAATTTAAAAATGTATTTGAAATATTTTTGCCGATTTGAGTTTTAAAAAATTTATCTTTATTGTTGAAAGCATTACAGATGTTTCTCCCCCCCTTAACTCTCTCCACCCTGCTCCCACACATTTGAACTTGTAAATATCTATTAATCTGCAAACCAAAATAAGTGTAAGGCTTAGAATGACTTTTATATCTCCCTGTCTTCTGAGCTTTTGAACAAAAAGGGAAGGAAATATGTTTAGTAGAAAATAATACTGCAGAAAAGTAAAATATGGCTTCTTTCTATGACTGAGTTCATAACATTATGCCCAGACCACTATTTTCTTTCTTAATAGGGAACTGCAAGTAAAATTCTCCAAGTTACAGGTAATAACAATGGAAAATGAATATATCTCTATCATTTTCCCTTGCTTTCTTGATGGAGAACTTTAGTTTTTCCTTGCTTTTTACTTGACTTAAAAACCTGAATCCAGATTTGTATAGGAAAGATGAATCGCTCCAGTATACCCTTTCTTTGGCAATGTCTTCTCTCAGGTCTCACATTTTCTAGCAAATCTTGATTCAGGCCCTAGGAAGAACCTAGCCCAGTTTATAATGCAAAATTCTCACTGCTTCAGAATTAATTATTAAAATGAGAAAATAGATTCATGACTCCACATGAATGTGAATCTTAAGATAATATTGTGTGTTCTCAACCAAAAGGAAGTTCTACAAGAAGGGATCTTGTTGGTGTCTTAGTACTTAAAAATTTAGTATTTTCATTATCAAAAAAAGTCTGCCTTTTTAGATCTGAACAAATAAATAGGAGTGTCTTAATCTGCTTGGCAAGACAAATATTGTGTAACATAACTAAGGATGCGGAGATATTCATGACATATTTATTCATAACAATGACAAACTAAAATGCCACTAAATCTACTGGAGAAAAATTTAAGAATCAGCAATGAAAGTATAGCAAAGAGGACTCAGTTCTACAGTTTTACCACTGTGCGTCCCACTTCATAAACCCCAGGGATTATATAGGCGTATGTCCTGAGTACATCAGGAATGAAGAGTAAGCGTCCCGAAGGAGATACATTTGCCACATCACAGCTTCCCCAGGGGGCTTCCCATAAAGAAGCTTCTGGACATGTGGCCACAAAAGTTCTATCCAGTGTGGTCACTTGCACAGTATAAGAGTTAGAAATCAAAACCCAGGTTTTTAAGTTCTAACTCCAAAGCTTTCCCCACTATTTCGTAATGTCTCTTAAGTAAATAAAATTTCTAAATGATATTTCAAAGTATGGTCTTAACTATGTTAAGCCTGGGCCACAAGTTGTTTCTGGCTTCTTGTGTAGGTCATAACCATACCTCTTCTGTAATCAGTTAGGGAAAATATTCCCTTTTCAGTTAGCCACTCATGGCATCCACATAAGAGGGAGTGCTCATCTCACGCTCCTCTGGGAAAAGAGAAATCAAGTTCATTATCTCACAGTTATAAGCCCAAATCTTTCTAAGCGCTGACTTCTCAGGTGTAAAGGAGAGAATGAGAAAATTGTGTGAGTCCTTTTATACTTATCAGCATTCAGACACACATTTGGGAAGCCTTGCTCTAGAAAGCTGCTAAAACTAGATTTGATGCTGCCACCTTTTGGCAAACTTGTATCTATCCCTTATTATGTGGCTTCTAAAGAATGGAATTTGCCCTAACTGGTCTGGCTCAGTGGATAGAGCGTCGGCCTGCGGACTGAAGGGTCCCAGGTTTGATTCCAGTCAAGGGGATGTACCTTGGTTGCGGGCACATCCCCAGTAGGGGGTGTGCAGGAGGCAGCTGATCAGCTGATCGATGTTTCTCTCTCTTCGATGTTTCTCTCTATCCCTCTCCCTTCCTCTCTGTAAAAAATCAATTAAAAAAAGAATGAAATTTACCTCCATCCCCTAATTAATGAATGATATATCTAGGTCAGTGGTCGGTAAACTGAGGCTCGCGAGCCACATGCGGCTCTTTGGCCCCTTGAGTGTGGCCACGAAGTTTCAATTGCACTGTATGTGCGCGCCCGCATGTGGTATTTTATGGAAGAGCCACACTCAAGGGGCCGCAGTTTGCCGACCACTGACTCCAGGTGATATTAACCTAAGTTTTGTGACTATAACCTGCCAAGGGAACCGATTAATAGTTCACTGGACAGAGCACCCAAAGAATATTAAAATTAAAGCTCTCTTTAACACATTATAAAACTACTATAAAAATATGACCTATTTCATCTGTTAATATTGTTTCTCCTTCTTCCTATCCGAAGGCACAGAAGGACCCATAGCCTTGAAGTTCTCACACCCTTGCCTGGAACACCACGATAGTTACTGCATCAATGGTGTTTGTGCCTTCCATCGTGAGTTGAAGAAAGCCATCTGCAGGTAATTTGCAAAGAACTGCCCAAGTCCTAGACACAGGAGGAGGAGAATTTATGCCTCTGGTGCTTCACACAGTACATTTCCCACACCTCTATCTTATGGGGCTAAAAGAGTACATGATCTGATCGTGACTCACCAATCCTCTTTGTAGTTGGATATCTAAGGAGTCTGTTTCTAAGCTACCTAATCCTCATTACTCAAAAATATGGTTCCCAGATTAGCAGCATCTGTGAACCTGGGAGCTTGTTAGGAATGCAGAAGCTTATGCTCCACCTCAAAACTATTGAATCCATATCAGCATTTTAGCCTCATGCAAATGTGATTAGGATGAAATGAAATAGGGCATGGTAAAAACACTTGGAGAATAGAGAGTTCTAGAGCAACTAAAATACTATTTTGATGATCATTGATTTGCTCAGCATCTTCCTATATAAGAGAAAATAATTTTCTAGATCAAGGCATAAAGCACACGTACTATCTTCACTTCATCACTGAGAAAAGGTATATTGATATGCGGTCTTAATGAAATGATTATTGTAAAATACATAGCTTCTTCAGTACTTGTAACAGATTGGCTTTCATTTGGTATTTGCATCTTCATTCTTTGAAACTGGTCTTTTCTTTATATTTCTGTCATTGTGAATCTTAAAATTATTCATTCTTTTCTTTTTGTAAAGGTGTTTTACTGGTTATACTGGAGAAAGGTGTGAGCATTTGACCTTAACTTCATATGCTGTAAATTCTTATGAAAAATACATTGCAATTTGGATTGGCGTCGGAGTATTATTAAGTGGTTTTCTTGCTATTTTTTACTGCTACATAAGAACGAGGTATGGAAAAATACACAAAATATGAAGTCAGTGGGTACTTGTTCATTTGAACAATATTTATTGAGCCCCTACAATGTACTAGGAATTGGCATGTTTAATTTTTTTAGTAAAAATATGGCTGCAAATCTGGCAAGTTCCTACATATTTGTTTTGATACCTTTCCTCATAAACCCAGATTAGCAGTAAAAATTTACCTGCAATTGCAATAGGATAGCTCCAATTTACAACTTCCCTCCATCCTTGCTTCTGTCTGCCTACATCAAAGTTACAAATGAAGAGGCCAGTAAGCCCCACAAGGGTATTGAAAAGTATGTCTTATCCAAAATTATATATTCAGTGCCAAATATGGTGCCTGGCACACAATAGACACTCTGTATATATTTGTTGAATTAAGAAATCAAGAAATGAATACTAAATGAATAAAAAGTGTGGCAAACATGGGCCATTTACTTCCAAACAATCAATTGAAGGTATATTCAGAAGATATTATCTACTGCTAGAAGCTTAAGAAGATAAGCAGGATCCACTAAATATAAGTTATTTGTGTATTAATTCTTATTTCTAGTGTATCCACACTGGTAATTTTTTCCCTTAAATTCATGTAGCTAGGGAAACTCAAGAAATAATGTGAGCTAAATTAAAGAAAAAAGTATAAATACATTTCCCTGGCATACTCTATTAACTAAGTTTTCATTTTAAAAATGATCAAGACTGACTATCAAAATAAGAAAAATTTTGGTTGCTTAATAATTGTATCTTAGAGAAAATAAAATGTTATATCAATTGTAGAACAATTCATATAAAATATGTTATATCAACTGATTTATTATGCCAATTGCCTAAGGAACCAAAAAGAGGGGGAAAAAAGAAAGTAGACCTTTTAATGTTAATAATACCGCTGTCTGAGGTCAGGTTTCCTAGAAGCAGAACACAAAATGAGGATTCCTGTGCAAGTGATTGGTCAAGGGATGCCCTAAAGTAGGACCTATAAGGCAATAAGGAAAGCTAGAGCAGAGGAAGAAGGTAAGCAAAGGTGTGGTATTAGCTAAAGTCGAGTCTCAGCCTGACTCCACAGGATGATCTCAAATGTGAAGGGCATTATAGACCTATCCCAAGAAGGTGAGGGATCTTGGTTTTAGTACCCTGTGCCATTAGCATGGGTGGCAGGATGCTCCTGGCAGGGTAGTGGGCACAGACCAGGAGTCTCCCAGGAATTCAGGCAAAGTTCTCTGTGGGCCCAGGGGATCCTCTGGAGAAGGATACTGTTCTGGGTCTGTTAACACCCATAGCTGCCGGGGATGGATCTACCAATGGGTAAAAGGGATCTGGGTGGGGCACCAGCAACAATGGCTACCCCAGAACATTTATATAATCTGCAATAAGGTATACTAACAGCATTCACGTTCTTATGGAAATCAATACTCTGTTTTAGGTGTCTAACACTGAAATCACCTTATAAGGTCTGTTCCAGAGGAAGACCACTGTGAGGCCTGTGTGAGAAATTTTCCTGAGGCATTTGTAAAGATCAGTGAACCCCACATTGACATCTTCAAATGAAACAACTAAACTTCTTAAGCTGAATAGACTTGAACGTGATGGAAGCTGGGATCATGATGAAATGAGAGAATACATTTCAACAGAAATCACTAGACTTTGTCATTGTTAGGATACCAAGAGAGCCAATGGAGCAAGCTTACAGTGACAGAAGTCAAGTTCATAGTACTACTCTGGGCCTGTTGCTGTTGTTGTGTGGTTATTGTTCTTACTGCAGAGAGTCTGAGTGCCATGCATCTGACCGTGTCAGATGTGAGTTTTCATGAGAAGGATCATCAACCTTGCAACAAGTCAAAGCAATACCAAGCTTGGGCTCTTCATGTACTAGCTACCAGTATTTTGGATCACTGCTCAATGGACCTAATCCCAAACATGCTGCTCTCATAAGGTCTAAAAGAATGTGATGTCAACTATTAGGATAATATCAGCGCTGTGGCACCTTCAGTGATCCAAACAAGTGCCTGGAGTCTAAGCCAGAGACAAGAAAATGGAAGGTCCAAGGCAAAATACATGATACCCAGCTTGTGAGAACATTGTGGAGCTGTTATCTGTGAAATATGGAATAAGCTAAAGAGTTTCTGATGACTGGAAGCTACTGGATATCAAGCCCTGAGTAGACAAAACATCTCTTTTTCTGCATGGATTATAACATGTTGTGTTGGACTCACTGGTATCCTAATGCTTATGTTTAGCACTTCCTCATATTGTTAGTGGAATTACCTGGTGACTATTCATTTGGACTGAAATTCTAGAATTCTACTAATACATGAAATTCTACAACTGATCCTGAAAGAAAAACTAAAGAGTTGGACACAGGAATTTTTTCATCAACCAAAAGCATGTGGGAAATTTATTAACCACTTCTGAGTACTTGAGAGCAGATTTGCACATAGAGTGAGAAAATGCAATACTTATTCTAGAAATAGCTATTTGGGAATTAGGGTCCTTCCTCTTTAGTCATATTTTTTTTTCATGTAATTACAATAATCTTGGGCAGGACCACTGATATTGTTGGGCTTTAATTTCATTTTCTACAGAGCCCTTCTAGCTCTAAAATTTGACCAGGGGAGAAGAGAGCAATTTTTCCACAACTGAAAAATTGGGATATTCTCCACCATACCTCAAATCCAAAACACACCACCGTCTATCATCTTAGGTGTATATTTTAGTGTTTGTTTTGTAAAATAATAATTAAGAATTTTGTTTTTAAGTGAAGCAAAACATATAATTTAAAAACAATGTCTATAACTTTTCTTTTAAATTAAATCTATAACTCTTGACTTTTTTCCATTGTAATTTTAATAAGCAAAACCATTTTGATCATGAGATGGGCTAAAAGAGGATCAATCATGAATATTCTTACCATGATTGCCTAGAAACAAGCCTTTCTCTTATATTGTTATGACTTTTCATTCACTATTAAAACTTTACATTCTGCTGTCCTTTGAGTAGAAGGTATTTCATTTGCTTTATTTTGCCTTCATAAGGAATGTAAGGCAGGTGAATGGCGTGTCAGCACTTTCTGATTGTCCTCACAAAGTATGTAAAGGTTACCTCATACCAAGGAGTGGGGAGGTGAAGGTTCCTCCCAGTGACTCCAGGGACCACACCTAGAAAGCTATGCTCTCCCTGAGCATTTCAAAGACGTGTTAAAAAGCTGGGGAGAGTCCAGGAAGAAACAATAAAGCTTAATTAAGGACTGCCTCCTGATGAAAGAGGAATTAATGCTGGAGTCTGGAGAGGTTATAACCTAAAAAGTTAAACATATTTGCTGTCTATAAATATTTCTAAATTATAAAAACAATATAATTGAAATTAAACAACATCAGACGAAAATTAAAATGTCCAGATTGCCAAACTGAAAAGTACACCAAAACAAAAAAACAATAGAGATTCCAATTTTTTCACCTGCGGAACAGTATGCATTAACAGTATAAAATCCACCCGGTGAGACTATAGAAAGTTAGAGTGTGACTCATAAGAAGCCACCTGTTTATGTTCTGTCCTACACATGATCTTGTGACCCCATAACCCCAAGAGTTAAATTTGCAGGAAGGAACCTCTGGCATTCCTATGGAGCTAGAGCTGCCAATATTTATGTATGGAATCAGGACATAAATTTTTAAAAAGTGAAGAAATACAAGATGTTCTGCAAATATTTCACTTTTTATTTTTTCCATGTGCAATAAAGCCCTGAAAGAAGTCTACCAGTGAGTCCCTTGCATCCAAACTACATTTCCTCTATCCATCTATGGATCATTAGGTGGGTGGCTCCTTTAGGAAAGAAATGGAATATGTTCTGGCATTTTTTTACTAAATTAAACTTGCCAAGGGGTTCATCAATGTCTTTCATTCCCATTTTGTCTTCTTCCTGGGTCTACCCTTCAATTCTTTGAGAATACATGCTAGGACTTCAATATTCATGAGTTAGCATTTTGAAGCATGATGGTGTTATTGGTAGAAGTGGAGTTCTTGGGGTGCCAAGAGGAAAATAATTTCCTGAGGCCCCCACAAGAGGATGGGGTTTCATGGAAAGCTTTATTGATGATGTAAAATTAAGGGGGTCTCCTCCAAGTTTTCATCTCTGTCTCTCTCACCCTGGAGAAGTGCAATCTTGTTTCCAGGAGGGCCAGAATTAAGGCCACTGCCCAGAATTTCTGTTCCATCTTAAAGTCCAGTCCAGTCCAGCATCTGTTTAGTTTAGCTTGTGTTCTCAGCTACAATCCACCTGATGGTCCCATGGCCATGGGCCATGTGGTGGCTTAAGGCCACATGGCTATGGAGAGAGAGCAGGCAAGCACATGGGCGAGTGTGGGTCATGGAGCTAGAGGGCAAGTGAGAACAAGCACTAGCAAGGGCACAAGAGAGAAGAAGCTTCTTTGGGGATTTTAGGCAGGAGCTTAGATTTCATGGGCTTCTGATGGGGTTCACCCTCTAGCCAACCTATTGTTCCCCAGGCCAGACTGATAGACAAGCACCTTCCCTACATCACCCCAATTTCACTGCACATGTGCCCATCTTTCCCTTTGTTAGATCCCTTCCCCTAGTGATCTGCAGGAAATGGACCAGGGGTTCCCTGGGGAGAGTGAAGCTCTAGCTTCCTGGTGAAGTTGCCCAAACGACCTTGCTTATAATGTCTGGCCTCCCCTTTGCTCTCTTCCTATCTATACATATAAAAAGGCAGCTACCTTAACAGCCATAACAACCTAACAACCAGTCGCTATGAAGCCCACTGTGGCCAGCAAACTGGCCTGATCAGGGGGTGGGGCGGGCGGCCAACCTCACAGTCCCTCCCCACTGCCAGCCTGCCCCTGATCTGGACTCTCCCACCCTGATCAAGAGCCAAATGCCCCCTTCCTCCCCCCCCTCCCCCCCCCTTAGATGCTCCCCTGATCAGCCCAACCCACCAGGTTAGGCCGGCAGCCCCTCCCCCTGGACAGCCCCGCCCTGATTGCCACCCCACCTCAATAGGGGGTGGGGCTGCCCGGGCCAACCTCCTGCAGCCCCTCCCCCAGCTGGCCCCACCCCAATCAGGGGCGGGGCTGGCGGCCAACCACCCATGGCCCCTCCCCATGGCCAGCCTTGCCCCCAATCGGCCCCCTAACCCCAATCAGGGCAGGGCCTGTGGGCCAATCACCTGTGGGCCCCAATCTGGCGGACAGCTGGCCAATCTCCTGCCATCTCCTCCTCCTAACAGGCCCAGCCCCGATCTGTCCTGGTTGGGGCCGGGGCCAGCCGGACCCCACCTGTGCACGAATTTGCACACTGGGCCTCTAGTTACTAATATTAACTAGCTAATTACAATGATAACAATGGGAGTGGGAGAAAACACTATAATTTCACTCATACTTGAGCCAGAAATTTATAAAAAGGAAATTATAGTTGCTTATTATTGTGTCTTCTTTCCCCAAATTAGTTTTTTTTAATAATTACGTTTTTCTAACATTTGAAGTAAATAAAATTATAACATAGTTTATCTTTTAGTGTTTCCCAGAACAATGCAAATCTAATCCTTTCATTTTGAAATGTCCTTTTTGGAAGATTTTTATTCGCTATATGTAATTTAAAAAAAAAAGTCTTAAGAAGATCACAAGGCAAACACCAGCAATTTAAGCTTTTGATGTTGAACATGAAAACAATTCCTCTCTTCAGGAGATCATGAGTAAGTTATCTAACTTTTGTGAATTACAAAAATGTAACACACTCTCTGTGGTATAATGTAAATATTGATATCCTGCAGCTCACACTCATGGGGAGGGTTCCCAGAATCTCTCTATTGCAAAATACCACTCTTTGTGGCTTACATCATGGCTGCATGACATCAGGACACTAGCATCTGCCAAGATGAACTGGAAGTGTTGAAATTTAATGTGTCAGAGTCTGGCACTGCTAATCTGGGTAAGTCCACATTTCTGTCCCAACCTTTGGCACAGCCCTATTCAGTAGCACATGCAGAAGCATATTTTCCAAATTCGGCTCTAAATGTCTGTTAATTATTCAACCAATGGATGTACAGCTCAGAGAAAATTGCTTAAGAATTCAAAGACTAGACCCCTTAAGAATATCCACCTGAATAAATGCATTCCATCATTATATTTCACTCCTCTGCCCAAAATCAACATGATGGTTGTTCCAGATTGTGGGCAACACCCACAGCTTCCAAAGAGCCATCTCGTAAAGATTAGCAACGTTATTATACAGTAACAAGGAGGACTGAATCGCTTAGTCAGGGCTTATCTACACACTTTATGTCCTTTCTTTGTAGTTTTTATGTCTCAGATATTATTGGGGCAAAATCATTTAGATTGAAATTAGGCGAAGATCACAGTCAAGCAAGTGTCCAACTCGCCATGCTTCTGATCTTGAAGAGGATGTTAATCAGGCCTCCCAACTTTCTGGAAAGAATGGTATCTCTAGATCTTTAAAGCCTCACAAAAATGTTGACTTAATATAAAGTCCCTTCGCAGATCAAGATGAAGCAATTGTGTGATAGAGCTACCCTTTATGAGCACTTATGGTGTTTGAAAAGCATTATTAGTATGATTTTAATGAATCCCACGCCCGTGCATATTTGAGATGTAGAGAAGGACCTGAACCATGTAGATCTGATGCCAAAGTCTCTCATCTAAACTCTATCCGATAACACTTTGCAATATTCTATGGAAAATATCAGTATTGAGAGTTAATTGCTTAATAAGCTTAGAAATATACCCAAGTGATTTATTTGCAAATGAAACAGGTTTGTTTGTTTTTTAAAACATATAAAATAATAACTTTTGTCATGGATCAGCCACAAAAACTCCCTGCTGTCAGCTGCAGATTATGAAGCTATGCATACCATCCTTAGGGTGCGGCCAGAATAGGCCTGGAGTGCCTGCTGACAGTTGACTGTACAGGCTGGGGAGAGACTGTAGACTGTAAAGTAATCCTGACTTAGCCTCCGCACTCAGGGTACCATAAGGTCACTTGGGAATACCTGATCCCAGCCTGAGAACAAGGGTTCTCTGGCACTGATGCTATCGGAACCGGGATATACCTGTCTCAGTTGATGATGGGGTGAGGAGTGAGTGGTTTTCACATCTACAGTAAAATCTTATCAACTGCCTTTTCACTATAGCACCCTCAATCTTACCCCTAGCTTCACAAACACCTTAAAGCAAAACAGTCACCTTCCATCTTACCCCTAGTCCCACAGACACCGTAAAGAAAAACAGCCACTGCTGGTGGGCCAGCTTGGGGCAAAACCTGTAAGCAACATTAAAAAAACTGTGCGGTGGGTGGGCACCTTGATGACCTGTGGTCTCCCTCAGCTGTGGGATCATATAACTGGGCTGGGACCCTTTGGACATGATATTCCTGTCTGGTAAGTGGAGAAGTTCGAGTCTAAAGATGAGCTCCACATTCCCTTCCTGGTTGGAAGCTGTGTGTTCAAAATGTGCAGTTCAGAAGGCAGAACCAGCCCACAGACTTGCTTATTTTGGTGCCCACAGTGTTGTTGTTTTTTGTTTCTTTGTTTTAATCAAGACCACCTCTAGAAATCAAGGTGTTTATCTATGAAAATCTAGGTTCTCCACCTTCTTTTGAAAGCTAGAAGTATAGAGCACTTGCCCTATATTCTTACGCAGTTTTGGCTCAAAGGAGTGTGCCGGGACACCCACCTATTTCTGTCACCATGCTAACTGGTCAGGCTTCCTAGGGGCTTTTAAGTCTGCAACCTCGGTTCTTTGACTGGATTTTACTATGAAGATCCTGCCTCATCTAAATTCCGAGTCTAGTCATCAGGATGCCTGCAGAGGGCCTCGTTGGACTATAAACTGCAGAAGCCCTGAGGGAAGCTCAGGATGGGCTGCCCAGGAATGTGCTCTTTAGGAGAACCCACATTCACCTGGAGGCTGGCAGGGCAGCTTCCGGGAATCAGACACCGCCCTGCCCACACCCTCAGTCACTCTTGCTACAATCTCTGACAGATTTGTTTGCTCAGTGTTCACCCCTACTCATACTACCTCCTTCCCAAAGCTGGTGCTAGCTTCCCATTGTATGCCATGTTTAGGGCAGGCTCCTCTCCAGCTGGCCGGCTCTCCCCCAGAAGGCTCATGGGTCTACCCTCCCCGGGCTCCCTAAGCAGAATCTACAATTCATATTTGTGTTAGGGTCTCTGCTATTTTCTCCGTATATATTACCCTCAGCTCTGTGGGCCAAGATCCTATACATTATTTTTTTCTAATGCTGCCTTTTCCTTGAAGAATCATGTTATTTATAAATGTCATCTTTCTCTCCTTTGAACTCCCTAGACATCCTTCTAAAAAACAAGCAAACAAAACTCCACGGTGCTTACATTGTTTTGTATTATAATGATTTATGTTCTTGGCTAAGTTCCAGTGGTAATAATATTAATAATGGACTTCATTCATTAAGTTTATACTATAGACTAGGCACAGTGCTAAGTAATTTCTATACAGCATCTCTTTCAATCAGAGATAGCCATGAGAAAGTTATATTAGGGGCTGTGATGAATAGTGGTTAAGGAGACAGTTCTTTGGAATTTAACAGACTGAGGCTTGAACCCCACCTCTGTCCTTACTGATCTGCTACCTTGATCAAGTTTCTAAGCCTGAAAGTTGCCACTTGTAGAAAGGGAATGATATTTATCTCCTATAGTGTTTTGGGGGTAATAGTAAGTGATCAATGAATACTCTCCTATATAATAAAACCCTAATATGCAAGTCGACTGAACAGAGGAACAACCAGAGCAACTACCAGTCACTATGATGCACACTGACCACCAGGGGGCAGATGCTAAATGCAGAAGCTGCCCCCTGGTGGTCAGTGAGCACCCACAGGGGGAGCACAGCTCAGCCAGAAGCTGGGTTCATGGCTGGTGAGTGCAGCAGGGGTGGCGGGAACCTCTCCTGCCTCCCCTGCAGGCGGGCTGTGAGGAGCGAGAGGTTGGGCCTAAGCCGGCAGGCAGACATCCCCCAAGGTTGTCCCAGACTGTGAGAGGGTGCAGGCCGGGCGGAGGGAACCACTCCACCCCATGCATGAATTTCATGCACTGGGCCTCTAGCTTTATTATAATGGCCTTCCATTTTACAGATTAGGAAACAAAATTTATAAAGTGTCAGTCACTTGTTCAATTATAAGCAGCTGGTAAGTGGTGGGACCTAGATTTGACCCCGAGGATGCCCAGTTCCAAGGTAGGCTTCACTCAGCACAGCTGTCTATGGCTGTTACTTGGCCAATGTTCTTTGAAGCAAGATCTGCAATCTCTGAGAGCTGGGTGTTTGAATCCCAGTTGTTTCTTAGTTCTGTGATAGAGAATAAATTATTTAACTCCTCTAAATCAGTGCCCTCTGTTATACAATGGAGATAAAAATTACACTTAACCCATAGGGCGATTTTAGGATTAAGCTAAATTAGATAGCTAATGTATGTAAAATATCTAGTACTCATTCAATAAATAGTACTTATAACTAGTAAATATTTAAAAGTGTGTTGAAGCTCTTGTTGGTACTAAATGCAGTCAGTTGTATCATAGCATGACATAGGTGTTCCTAAAAATCATCACTTTGCAAAACCAAGCAATAAAAACCACAGGGCTTATAATAAGGAAAGCTAGAGTTAAGGGGTATAATGCTCAAAAATTTTGTCAAGGACACATTAAAAAAAATTTAAGTAGCACAGTCTTATACATTTAAAATGGTTCATAAATAAGTAATATGTAGCCGTAACCGGTTTGGCTCAATGGATGGAGCGTCGGCCTGCGGACTGAAAGGTCCTGGGTTCGATTCCGGTCAAGGGCATGTGCCTTGGTTGTGGGCACATCTCCAGTGGGAAGTGTGCAGGAGGCAGCTGATTGATGTTTCTCTCTCATTGATGTTTCTAACTCTGTCTCTCTCCCTTCCTCTCTGTGGAAAATCAATAATATATATTTTAAAAAAACAAGTAATATGTATTTATAAGTCGACATGGCACTTTATCTTGAAAAACACCTGAAATTTGCTTATGAAAGTTGGTCCAAGGGTTATAGCTTGCAAGTTATTGTCAAGTGGTGAAGGGTTATAGAAATTGTATAGAAAGTTAAATCAGCCAATATGAGTGTAGCTCATAGCACAAATGTGAGCCAAGGTACCTGGTGTATGTTTGAGATTTGTGCAGATGTGTGTGTTTGGTACAGTTTATGCTGCTCAGTTAAACAGCATTATGCATTCATCTAGCCCAGTGGTCGGCAAACCACGGCTCGTGAGCCACATGGGGCTCTTTGGCCCCTTGTGTGTGGCTCTTCCACAAAATACCACGTGCGGGCGCGCATGTACAGTGCAATTGAAACTTTGTGGCCCATACGCAGAAGTTGGTTTTCGGCCTGGGCGAGTCTATTTTGAAGAAGTGGTGTTAGAAGAAGTGGGGGTACGTTCGCTGAGGTCAACCCCTCAAATTGAGGACGTTTTTAGCAAAGGCCAGCTTAGGAGTACCCTAATTAAGTTAATAACAATGTACCTACCTATATAGTTTAAGTTTAAAAAATTTGGCTCTCAAAAGAAATTTCAATCGTTGTACTATTGATATTTGGTTCTGTTGACTAATGAGTTTGCCGACCACTGATCTAGCCGATCTATCAGATGAAATCATGCATAAGCAAACACAAAATGCTCAAGTTGTTCCTTTATGTTGGAATAAATTCATGTTTTCAAAACAAGCCTTAAGTCAGAACTGACTGTACCTTGAAATTATCACAACCTTTGTCTCTCAATCTAGACCTCAAGTATACTTATTAAGCACTTGAAATATTCTGATTATATTAGGCACTCAAGACCTTGGAGACCAGGATTATGATGACTCATTTCTCCACCTAAATTTTAACAGTGTATCAAGAACTTAACTCCAAAGCCCCATATTACTGTGGATTCATATTCTCTGAGACAAACTTATCATAGTGTGTTTATTCTTTTCCATTGTCAAGCTACAAATAGTTAGAAAACTTCATGACTATATTTTTCTAAGTCCTAAATTTATATCACTCTATGAAGAATCCAAATTCTTCTTCCTTTCATCTTGACTTATTCCCTTCTTCTTTTTTATTCTCTGAGTAAAATATTACTTTTATTCAAAATTGTTTAAATGATGCAGAAGTTAAAAAAATTCCAGCAAAGCAGATTCTTAAAAGAGCCTATGTTATCAGTTGTTATTCTTATTGCATTTATACAAGTAATCAGATCAAATTTATTAAAACTTGACCTATGCAGTAAATAAGATGGTCTTAATTTGGCTATTTTTGAGAAAAATAGGGTCAAATGAGAAAAGTTGCTTTTTAATAGAAACAATAATATACGATGTAGATATTAGAATCTAGCTAAGTTAATTGTCTTTAAAGTTTTTTTTTATCTATAACCTGGACTAAATCATGTTTTTTTCCTACTTAAATATTTGTCTACAACTCTCCAAACTGATGTTTTATTTTTCTCCCACCCATTGACCTGGAATTACTGAGGACCAGGACTTCTTTTTTTCCTGAGACTTGCAATTGCAAACTGCAGCTAGACAACATAACATAAACTTTAGAGAAATCATTACAACAGCTCATGCTTAACTGATCCAGTCACTGATGTTGGATAAGCCACCGAGAGTTACCTGAGCACCTGATATCATCAGAGACATTCAACTGCAGGTCAGGAGAATCTATCAGATTGTCTGCCTTCATTCCAAAAGAAGCTTTAAGTCTTACATCTAGAAATCTTCCGGATGGACAGCCTTACAGACTCAGAAACTGGTTTATAACTTGCTGTGATCATTAACCTTTGTTTTATTTTGTTTTCATAGACACACCTTTTATGAAATAACAGATTGCTTGCTTATACGATGTAGGCCTCATGATGGGTGCTCATCTGTGTCAGTGCCTCCTGAAATGAGACTCAGCTACTTAACTGAACTAATTTATCCTCAGGACTAAGTGATTGGGTCAGTGAAATATGGAGCAAGCTGCCAACTTCGCTTCTGGAATGTGAAACTTATTTAGGGAATGTGTACCATTATTTCCGAGTTGCCTAGCAAGAATGTTCCTGCCACTTATGTTCTACTCTTCCTCAACCCCCTTCTGAAATCTAAAACCCTATCTAGCACACTCCTTTTCTTTTTTTCCTAAATGTCTTATATACCCAATGTTGCCTCATTGTCTTTGGAATTTTCATGCTTATGTGAATTCCCCTTGAGCATGAATTAAAACTCAGATTTTCTCCTGTTAATCTGTCTCTATTAATTTAATGAATAGCCCAGACAGGAGAACTTAGAAGATGGGAGGAAAAGTATTAATATTTTTTAGCCCCCCACTAAAAGGCACCTGCCTGAAGCATTCTGATTTACCAGACTTAATATACATTAGGCTAAGGTAGCATTCTAGGATCTCCTTCCTGTAACAGGTTTCTCTGACTGAATCTCTTTTGCAGGTGATAGGGAGGGTCAAAGGTTCTTTCAGAGTTTTGTTTCTTAAGGAAGAACTTAAAATCAACATCCCAATCAAGGCAGCTTCAGGATGACAAAACTCTGGTTTTCTTCAAGACACAACTTACTCTTTTTCAAATGAAAGCTCCAAGACTAAAATACAATGAGTGACAGAATACTATGCCTTTTTTTAAACTTGAGAGGATTTGATTTGGATGTTAACACTGCAGTTAGTAACCCTCATGGCTATGCTGGAAATTACGCTTTCTAAATGCCCTGCACAGATAGATTTTTCTAAAAAATTAGTTTTTAGCCTCATAAATTAATGGCAGTTTTAAACTTTTGATTACATAAACCCCTGGCTCTCATAAACCAGTTTCATTATTTGTCAGATTTGTTCTCTAGCAAATGTTTTTCTTGTTAAATGTACAGAGCCCCACTGTTGTGCAAAAGTTCCAGATAATACAAATGGACTAAAAGTTCTGCTTTTTATTTTTTAATGTTTTAAAATAAATCTTTATTGTTGAAAGTATTACATATGTCCCCCTTTTCCCAATTGCCCCCCAACATAGTTCTTGATATACTTAAGACAATATATTTAAGTCATGTGCTTATAGAAAAAATATTTGTGATGCGAAAAATTCAAAACAAGCTGAAATCATGTTGAAAAAGAGTGATTGTCCACTAGGCCTCCTGCTTTGAACTTGAAAATGAAGTGGTTGAGAACAGGCCTTTGACCACAAATAGTGAACAGTAGTGGCCAGCAGCAGCAGCAAATCTACAAATTCTAACAGGTACTTAGATGCTTAATTAAAGATCAGTTTTATTGCTGTAAAGCTGCACATGATACCAAGTATTGTTTTCTTTGGTGAGAAAACCCCAAGATAAGAAATTCTTAAAATGTTCATTTTAATAATTTAAAAATCATTATACACATTTGAAAAAAAATTATGAGTCTCTTTTGCAACTTCAAAAAAAGAAGTCTTAACTAGGTAAAATGGAGAACCCAATCAGAGGGTCAAATTAAAATTGTTTAAAAGATCCTTCAAAGTCAATATCAGAATCATTTTGGGCAACTCAAATTTTAATATTAAACAAATGACAAAGATGGAGCTCATTTCAACATTATTTCACCTTAAAAATGGATGGAAACAGAATTTACTTGCATTTTATGTTATTAAATTTACAGATGATGTTAGTGATGACATAAATTTGTGAATTGATTTATGGTATAACAACCAAAGACTTTTTAAAGAGTCTTTTTTTTGCCAGGGGGGGGGGGGAGGGGGGCGGGTACCCTTAGTATTGCTTGGATAAGAAGGTGCAATGTTTACCACGAGTAAAACTTATTACACAAAACGTCTGATGAAAGAGCCCACTACAAAGCCACTATGACTGTAGTTGGCTTCTCCTTCTGTCAAAGGGTTTGCTTCATAATTTTCTCAGTGTGTCTGATGGGTTGGTGTTGTTAACCTAAAAATAAAATAAAGAGCCAAAGTGAGAGACAACTCGCATTTATTTAAGATACAAAATAATAGCTATTTTGGAAGCACTGATTCAGATAGAAACCTAAATAGTGTTCATATAAGGATATAAAGATAAAGGGGTATTTATGAGAAAGGACAAGGGAATAATTACATAAATAAAAAATTTTTATGGGTATTAATAACTTAAAGAAGCAATTTCTATAGGTTTAGATAAGCTAAAATGGCCATGCTAATCTTATGGAATGCCTATAATTTTCAATCTTGTAGTCATAATGTCTGCTTTTCTGTTATCTTTGCAAACAGTTGTTTGGAACACAGTGCAGCTTTAGGCCCAGTCCAGAGGTTATTTTTCCTAGTTTTAACATCCCAAAGTTTGAGGAGTAAGATGTGCAAGGTCGTTTCTCTGGGATGGCAGCTCACACTCCATTTTGAAGTGGCTCATTTATATTATTTTTTACAGTATAAATGTTAATATTTATTAAAACAAAATAAAAATTATCATAGTTTGAATTTTTGTTTTACTTAAATGTCTAATAAAATGAGAATAAATTAAGAAGCAATAAAATAAAAATACTTTAAAAACTTGTTCTATCTATAGGCTGGTATAGAGGAGCATAGGTGCTTAAACATTTTCAAACCTAAAATTGAATGATTGTTTTCTATATTAATATAATGATTGGAAGGTAATAATTTCACAACAATAATAAAAAAAACTAAAAAGTAAAACTTATTTAAATTAAGAAGTTGTCTTATTTAATAAGTAATATTTTTAGTCTCTTATTTAATAGGTAACATATTTTAGACTCAGTTCTATTTTGAAGAAACTTTAAAACTTTGAATGTAAATGTTTTCATGAATAATACATTTGATTGTGTGTAGTTTCAGCTATTGATTTTGTGGGTTATTTCTACCATTTTCTAGTAATCAGATTACTTGAATTAAAAATTCTAGGAATTTGGCCTGGCCGGTGTAACTTAGTGGTTGAGCATCGATACATGAACCAAGAGTTCACTAGTTCAATTCCTTCTGTGTCAGGGCACATAATTGTATCATTTATGCTTACATTTTAACCTGGAAAATTATGTAAGTGTCAGAAATTGCTACTGTATGACTTAACTCAGGAGAAAGAAATGGATATAACCAAAAGGAGAATGATCCCAGAATCATAGCACAGAAGTTGAAGCTATAAAGAAAAGAAAGGGATAGGGTAGTTGGAATCTGTAACAGAACTACGTGTTAGGGCCTAGGTCCCTAGGATGTCGAGATTTCATGAGCAGATGTTTAGAGCCCTGAGCTAGGAAAGCTCTGCTCTACTTATGAACAGAGACGGAAAATCTCCACCAGACACCCAAGATCACGGTGCAGATACTCTTGAATTTACAAGGTGATTACATCCAGATAAACCCATTGTTACATTTAAAATACAATAAATTGAAAATGCATTTAATACAGCTGACCTTCTGAGTACCATAGCTTAGCTTTGTCTACCTTAAAAGTGCTCATTAGCTTGTAGTGGGGTAAAATCACCTAAAAATGAATACACTGTGGGTATCACTGTTTACCCTCGTGATTGTATGACTGACTCGAACCTGCAGTTCACTGTGACTGCCCAGAATCACAACACTGTACTGCTGCATATTGCTAGCCTAGGAAAACATCAAAATTCAAAGTAGTTTCTACTGAATGAATATTGCTTTTATTCATTTTGACCATAATAAAGTCAAAAAATTTTAAGTCAAATCATCAATTGGGGAGCATCTGTAGACAGAAAAATAACTACCTTGGGCAGGCAGTAAAGAGAAACAGAATCAACTTCAAGAAATCAGAGCTTAAAGATACACTGAGCCAGGATACAGTGATCAGAAATCACATCACTCACATGGGATGGGAAACCTAAGCTGAGAAGTAGAGTGTAAGACAAGAGAGAATAATTCAGAACCCATGGCTCTTGTTGCACCTGAACAGGGTTAATCATAGAGCCTGATAGGTCTCCATAGCCAATGGTATGTGATGGCTTTTCATGGAACATATTTCTCTGGAACTAATATGAGTTCCAGAAGGAAAGACTAGGGGTAGAGGAGATATAAAAGAAATAATGACCAAGGACTTTCAAGAATTAAAGTAGGACAAGAATCTTCAAACTGGAGGTGTGTGCTTAGTCTTAAGACACGTGAGTTAAAAACAAGTCTACACCTAAACAAATCACAATGACACTGCAGAACATGAAGGGTTAAAAACTCTAAAACGTGCTGGACCCAGAAAGGATGCCGTCTGTGGGTGGTGTCTCAGGGAGGGGTTCAGTCTCTCTCCTTGAGGCTCCAGTCCACTCTGGGCCTCCATCCCTCTGCTGGATCCCAGCTTTTCCACTTCACACTCGGGCTAGACAAAATCCCAGGAAGGTCAGCCCCAGCAGCAACCTTCCTCCTTTCACTTGCTCTAAACTTGCAGTTCAGAGCACTTTCCTGAAGACTGCGAGGGCTGGGAGGAAGAAGGTTCTAAATGTTGCCCCAGGTCAATTTTAACCTCTGCTACTCAATATTTATTTCTTTTTATCAACATATATCTCCGATTTCCTTCTTTATCATTGGTACTTGCATGGCATTTTTCCTCGTGGCATCTTTTCTCATTTCCTTGAAGTATATTCATTGGCAGTCCCTTCACTGTTGGTTTAGATATAATAAACTCTTAATCTTTTACAGAAATGGAAAATTGTAAGTCCTATATTCTTTGATTTGAACTTTGCTAGAAAATATAGTCATAGATTGTAAGCTTTAATTGGATTTGATAAGAAATCTTAAAAAGAATGAGAACACAATTACCAGCAGTCCTTGGGAAGGTAGAGAGGCGGTTTAAAATAGCCTAGGAGTGAGTCCAGCATTTGGATCTGTTTTCCCTTGGGGTCCTTTGTCAATTCCAGAGGAAAAGTGGAAAGGCTGAGCAGATCCCTTGACGGTTGCAAGGTGTTTTGTGGACATAGATTTGAGTTCAAGTCCTACTATGATGGTGTGGGAAACATCATCCCCCTTGCTCTGAGTTGGAACTTAAAAGGCTGCACCTTAAGAGTAAGGGATAAGTCAGAAATAGATCCTTATAAGGACTGCAGTCCTTGAAATTAGGTTAATGAGATCCTAAAATTCCAAAACTGCTTCTCAGGCACCGGAGAGAGGCAAATGTGAATTAAAAGGGAATTAAATTATCCTAAGCCCCAAATTAATTTGAAAATCATTTTCAAATGTTTTGTAAATAAATTTCAAAACAACTCTGAAAATACATAATTAGCACACAATTAAAAATAAAGAGACACCCAAGAAAACAAGACTGTACAAATAAAAATTTGCAAAAACTATAGGTAATACAAACAGAGCCAGCCAGGCTCCAGATGTTGGAGCTCTCGGAGACAGACTTTACAGTAACTTACTATTCCAAGGAGATGAACTACAATGGAAAATGATGGCAGAGAACAACAAAGAAAGAGAAAGGAAAATATATGTACATTTTGAAATGGCTTACACACACGCGAACCAGAATTATTTATTGTTCAGGTATACACACAAAGTTTACGGTATTGGGTTGCTTCGAAGGAGGAGGAAAATGATGGGAATGAGGAGGGGATATTATAGAACAAGGCATATTGGAGGTGAGCACACTCAATTATTAGTGTTTCCTTCCAAGATTAGGGTATATCTTCCAATTGGTTCAAGTCTTCTTTTATCTCTCATAATAGCATTCTAATATTTTGTCCATAGAGATCTTACTCATTTCTTGTTAAATTTATTTATAGCTATTAAACATCATTCTTGTGTTACTGTAAGTTGGATCTTTTGCCATTTTGTATTCTAACTGGTTGTTGATTCTATACAGCAAGGCCATCAATTTTTGTATATAAATTTTATTTTTAGCCATCTTCCTAAAATTTATCTTTAATTGTAATAGTTTATGTAATTCTCTTGTGTTTTAAAGATATAAAATCATTTCTTTTGTAATAATACTTTACCTCCTGCAATTCTAATATTTTTGCCTTTTATTTCTTTCATCTAATGCTGACAATTATACTAGCTAGTAATAATTTGAGTCATTATCAACTTTAGTGTAAATACATCTAGTGTTTTCCATCAACTGACTCTTGAGTTGATCTATGTATAATAAAAAAAACTTTTATTTCTATTTTAGTTAAAATGCTTTTAAAATCAGGAATGGATTATGAATGTTGTTAAAATAATTTTTAATATCTAGATATTATGATTTTGTCTTTTATCTATTAATTTGCTGAATCAAATTAATAATTTTCCTCATGGTAAATCCTCTTTGCACTGTTAGTATGAATCACACCTGCTTTTGTTATATTGTTTTCTTAATGTGCTGCTGAATTTTATTTTTTGGGTTTTTCCCCAAAATATTATTGTATCAAAATTCATATATAAAATTGGTCTAAAGTTTTATCTATGCTCTCTTTGTTGGATTTAGTGTCAACATTATGCAGATTTAATCCTGTAACATGATGAGAAAAAGCCTGCATTCTAAAGCCAAATGGCCAGGTTCAAACCGTAGTTCTGCTACTTGCAACTATACGACCTTCAGCAAATTATTTAACCTTTCCATGAATTGGTTTTTTTGGATGTGAAATGAATGTGAGGCATCTTCTACTTCTGGTTCTTTTTTTTTTCAAGATGTAGCTCTTCACGTCCTAAATGAAAGGCTGTGGATGTGGTAACAAGTACACTCTTTTTTTGGTAGGATCTAAATTCTAATTTTTGCCCCTGTATTTGTCCTAGTACCAATTCCAATATGTGTATGTGTGTGTGTGGGGGGGAGGGCGAGTCAGTGGTTGGGTGTTCCCCACAACAAGTAATTCTTGGGATACTAGTTGGTATCTATAATTCAACTCATCTCTGACACTATCTACCCAGAGATAGCATCAGATTTCACAGCTTAAAGGTTCAGTCTTACAAGACTGTCCCCCAACTCAAACAACCCTCAGATGCCAGTAGCCAGTTGTAAGCCCAAGTTGTTATCTGTGCTTCTAACCAACTGACTATAAATCAGAGGTTCCAAGGTCCCCTCCTCGGGTTTGATTAATTTCCTAGAAGTCAGAACTCAGAGAAACATTTTACTTACTAGATCACTGGCTTATTATTAAAGGATATCCTATATAATAAAAGGCTAATAAGCAAATTGACTGAACAGCTGAATGACTGGTTGCTATGATGCGCACTGACCACCAGGGGGCAGACACTCAATGCAGGAGCTGCCCCCTGGTGGTCAGTTCGCTCCTACAGGGGGAGTGCCGCTCAGCCAGAAGCTGGGCTCATGGCTGGCAAGCCCAGCAGTGGTGGTGGAAGCCTCTCCCGCCTCTGCGGCAGTGCTAAGGATGTCTGACTGACAGCTTAGGCCTGCTCCCCGCAGACAGCTGTCAGTTGGACATCCCCCAAGGGCTCCCTGACTATGAGAGGGTGCAGGCCAGGCTGAAGGACAACCCCCACCCCGAGTGCGAAAATTTTGTGCACTGGGCCTCTAGTATATAGTTTATATACCCTAGGAACAGCTAGATAGGAGGAAGATCTGAATGACTGAGTATATATATTTATAAATCACAGTATCTCAGTCCCCATTGGAAGTCAGTCAGTAGTTCTGCTCAGCTTCTCATTCCTCATGTACTACTTTCGCCACTGGGAATTCCCCAGAGGAAAAAAGCAGCCATAGCTGGGCTCACACTCTCCCTGCCAGATGAAGATGCCTGATTGCTAACTGCTTTGCTAGCTGTCTGATGCCTCAGATTAATGCTTTCTTTTGTTTTATTTTGCTCCAGTTTTTCTAAGTTTTCTCAGTAGAAAGGTTAATCCCAAATACCAGTCTCCTTACTTTTTGTCATTAATGTAATATTTAAATAAAGATTTTCTACTATGGTAGTTATCTTAATTTTGTTTATATCTATCATTTTACTTGCTTTTTCTAAATTCTGTCCTCAGTGTTTCCTCTGTGTTTTAAGCAATACTTGTTGTCTTTTTTTGCTATTTAAAAGGTGTTCATTTATATAAAATTTTACTTTTCTTCTATGTTTTTTTGAACTTTTGCGTGCCTCTGGTCATTCTGTTGCCTCATCACAGAACCCTGAGATCTTCTATGTTATCTAAGAGAACTTTGGTTTTTATTCTAAGCAGTGCAAGTTTGTGTCAAGTGTTGTCATGGTTTTTATCTGCTCAATCAAAATGTAGTAGGTACTTAGATAGGACAGGTGCAGAGGGTCACCAGGGCGGAGATCCTCAGGTGCCTAGCAATGGGCAAACTGTAAGTCCCTGTATGATCCCTCCCTTAAGCATTAACCCCTAGACCAGCCGTGGGCAAACTTTTTGACTCGAGGGCCACAATGGGTTCTTAAACTGGACCGGAGGGCCGGAACAAAAGCATGGATGGAGTGTTTGTGTGAACTAATATAAATTCAAAGTAAACATCATTACATAAAAGGGTACGGTCTTTTTTTTTTTTAGTTTTATTCATTTCAAACGGGCCGGATCCGGCCTGCGGGCCGTAGTTTGCCCACGGCTGCACCTAGATGATGACCTCTAGGCTTCTTCTTTGTGTTAGCTCCAGGTCACGGCCAGCTGAACCACAAGGGGGCACATCTGGAAAGCTGATGAATGTTTCACTGGGATTCATCCCTAAGGTCTCTACATAGAAGTCTTTAACCTTTGGATCTCTCTCTATGGAGCCTTTTCCCACCCCCTCCCCCAGGCAGGTTTTCCTTGCCTCTCTCTTTCTTCTAAGCCCCAAAAGCCCTTCCTTGGCCTTGGTAACTTGTTTCCTAAGCCCATTTCTTCCAGGCTCACTTCTTCTACCTCTGTGACTTTCTAGATAAACTTTCTCTTATAGTTTGAGTCTTTGCTCTGAATTCTTTGTGAGTCTGAACTCAAGCATGGAGGTTGCTGAACCAAGGTCTGGCCTAATCTGCCATTTTTTCTTTTGTCCTTCTCTCCAGTCATAACTTTTAAGTTTGTTTTCATTAACAATATACTCAATTATACAGTAAAAGAAATACGTATAATGTAAATATGACTTTCATGGCATTGTATATAATATTCAGTAAAGGGAGCCAAAAAGCTTGGTGGTCAAAGACAAGTCTCTGATTCTTTACTACTAGGTTCAAATCCTGGGTCCTTGTGCTTTAGGTTTTCTGTTGTTGTTGTTTTTCCTTTCTTGTCTATAAAATAATAATATGTAAAAATAATAATAGTCATACCTTTGTCCTAAGAGTTTGTAAGAATAAAATATGTATTAGTTTGCTAGAGCTGACATTACAAAATACAACAGATTGGATAGCTTAAGCAACAAATTTATTTTCTCATAGTTCTAGAGTCTGGAGTGTCGAAGATCAGTGTGTTAGAAAATTTGGTTTTTTCTGGGGCTTTTATCTGGGCTTACCTTCCTGCCATTTATTCGTGTGTTCTTGGCATTTATCTGACATCTCCATGTTTCCAAATTTCCTCTTCTTATAAAGACTCCAGTTAGATTAAATTATGAGCCAACCTAATGGTCTATTTTAACTTAATCACATGTTTAAAGATGCTGTCTCTTAATTCAGTCACATTTTGAGGTACTAAGGTTAGGACTCCAACATAGGAATTCTGGAGGGACAAAATTAAGCCCATAAAGGAAATCATTATCCGTCCTGTTTTAAATGATATTGTTTTTATCTTGCCAGTGCAAAATTATTCTCACTCAAACTAGTCAAATTGACACAATTTGTTTAACCAGGTACACAGATGGTAAAAAGTGGTTTAAAAGGTGAAAAAAAATAGTAGTTCTGTAAATATAAATAATTGTTTGGAAAATTTGTTATTTCTAATACCAACAATAAAGTCATGTTGTCTGTGACTAATATTTAAATGAATAAATAATGTTAGGAGTATTTGCAGCAAATATTAATTGACCTGCAGTTTTACAGATAACTACAGAATTATAGATTACTAAATCTTTCAGGTTGCCTACAATGTTATTGTTGTTTATGGTGATTATCATAACTTTAAATCAATCAAATGTGTGCTTTCAAGAGCCCTCTAC